GAGTGAAGCTGGTCAACAAGTTGTGGCGACAAGCCAGTGGAGCTGGGATCCGTCGTCAAAATGGGATGTGTTCCCGGAACAGTCTGGAGCTGTAGTCTCCCCATGGCCCTGGAGGCGAACCTGGAGGGACCTGGCGAACGAGCGCACCTGACATCCGAGCCCCGTGGAAGCAGCTCGTCTTTCCGGTGCATTGACTGGCGGCGGGGGTGCTGTTATGCCAGCGAGTCCTCGTCAAACGTCCGTGCCTCTGAAACAGGCAATCTGGGTCAAGGCCAGCCCGCAGTCGGCCTGGCGCGATCACCTCGACGGCGTGAACACGCGCGGCGCATCTGTGGCCCACGTGCATTGAGTCAGTTGCGCACGTGACAGCGAGCCGGCGTCCTCATGTCTGGTGGCCTGACGCATCGCGCGGCGAACCCCATTGGAGGAGCCTGCTCGGAAGACCAGCGGCGCTTCTGATTGGACATTTTAGTTGGGCCCGGTGTAAATAAAAGAAGCCCTGCGGCGCGTCGCGATCGGCGGTCCTATGTGAGAGGCGTCCCCGTGTCGGAGTGCCGACATGTGTGTGAGTCAGCGGTCTTAGGCGAAAGGCTGACCTATGTGTTAGAGAGGAGAGTTCGGCTCTTCGAGTCTCTGTCGGCCCCAGTGCCGAAATTGTAACGCCTCTGTATATATGCTGTACATAAACCTTGTTTAACTCACCGTCGTCTCGTCCGCTCGTCTTATCAGCTCTGCGCAGAAGCAGTCGCGAGCTGATAAACATACGCTACCAAACGGCTGGTGACCTTCCCGGCGGAGTTGAAAGCAGTGGCGCCTCCGGGGCCGTGTTGGCGTCGCCGTCTTTCGCAACAGTGGTGGCTTCGGCGGGATCGGTCCGTCGTTCTCAACAGTGGAGGTCAGCGGCGGGATAGGCCCGGCGCTACGCAACACCCTACTGTCACTTTTACACTCGCTTTTGCCCCGTTCAGATGCTAATGTATTATGCACTGCCAGTAAATGTTTCAATTTGGCACAACATTATTTTAAGGCACTCGTGATTACAGTCCAGGAAAGAAAAATTAAGAAATAAGTTATATTTAAAAAGTTTCACTAAGTAATATTCATTACAGTATATTTAAACATTCAATTATACCACAGCTGGTCAACTTCGATTTTTTGCACAAAAAGAAGGAACTCTGAGGCTCAAAATGCACACGCAGTTCATTTTTGGGACGCATTTCTATTGAGCAAACAAAAATAATATTTATTAAGATGGTCCTGGCCCGCAACGGGGTTTCTTCTGTACTATGGGATTTCAATTTGAGACCACCGGTGGCCGCTGATGATGAGATAATAATGCTCATGCGCTGGCGGGACGCTCAGGCTTTAGTGAACCTTTACTCGTTCAACACAATCAATATATATATATATATATATATATATATATATATATATATATATAATGTTGCAGCAATATTCCCTATACTAGAACCACCGTAGTACCAGGTTCACTGTCTCTCATCACCACACTTAGGAGGGCTCAATCAACTATTTTCTTCTTATTTTACACTAAACAGAAACAGGTGGACTACAGGAAATTGCTCATCACAGCACGGCCGCTCCACTTCAAATGAACGAGCTTGCGCTGAAATTTTTCCACACTTGTTTCCCACTCTGAAACTATAAGCGTGCTTTTTTTTTTTTTTTGTCCCCTCTCTTCTTGTCTCTTCTGGCGCAACGCAGAAGTTACTCATCCAGTAAGAATTGAAACAAAACAAAAAAAGGGGGAAAAAGTTTAGAGGAAGCACCGGCGATGTTCTCGCAAGTTTTTTTTTTTTTTTTCATCGCTCAGTAATTCAGCTGAATATATCTATACTAGAATTCGAAACACACGGCTTATTGATGAACATAACGATATCGTCTTTTTAGTTATAGCTGCATTAACACGCGTATTTCAAGCAAGCATTTCATCAGACCCATCTACGCCACGTGAACAGCGAAAACAATGACTACAATAGCTTCCAGATAATCGCCATCGAATTCGAGGATTAGATACAGTGATGTATAGGTTTCTTCTAACAAAATCGATCGATGATTGATTTATAAGTGGAGTTTAACGTCCCGAAACCACAATATTGATTATGAGAGACGTCGTAGCGGAGGGCTCCGGAAATTTTGACCACCTGGGGTTCTTTAACGTGCACCCAAATCTGAGCACACGGCCTACAACATTTTCGCCTCCATCGAAAATGGAGCCGCCGCAGCCGGGATTCGATCGCGCGACCTGTGGGTCAGCAGCCTAGTACCTTAGCCACTAGACCACCCCGTGGGGCTCTTAACAAAATAATTTTTTTTTTTAAGTTTTCAATATATAGGATGTGGCACACGAACACACTTCATCGCAAACTTTGGAAACAACGTTCACACGCTGCTGTAAGCACTTTTTTTCCACGCTCACTTTCAGGCTTCTTGCGGATACATAGAAGGATTACGACAGTTCAAACTAGGCCTCGTCAGCAATGCTTAATCTCAATTAATAATCAACTATAAGCCACATCTTCGCAAGCTTCTAAATATTTCCCTGAAGATAAGCAGAAGGCTTTGTGAACGTTTCAGCGAGCGATCACAACTAGTCGCCAACGTCCTGATAAATTTTCCGTTTTGACGAGGCGCCCCAAATATCATAAAAGATCGCTGAAACACGACTACACGTCTTCGCAGTTTTAGGGAACGCAAGCCACTTATACGCCTAAGTCATTGTCCACACTCCTGATTGGTGGCATGTGGCCCAATCACTTCTCGTCTCCTCTCGACGTCTGAACCCCACTTTAGAGCAGGGCTCGATTGCCAACATTAACCTTATCTGACAGGGAAATGTATTCCAAGCTTCGACAAGCCACGAGGTATTCGACTCAACCTGGACTAAAAGCTTCGCTAACGTCTGCGCACGCGACAGAGGAAGGCATGTGACCGCCATGCATAGGACGTGCCAAAAGCTTTTAGTTTTGACAGAGGCTAGATCACGTTGGTTCATTCATTATATGTTTAAGAAGACAGCCAGACACAGCGGATGATAGATGGTCATCATAAAAGCAATTTCACAAAGGCGAGGTCATAGCACGACGCCATAAAGACTGGTTATTGTTACCTTTATGCTTCCTTTGTTATTCGGCCTATTTGCTGTTACAGACAATGCTAGCACGATCAGCGAACTGATTTTATCAGTTCGCTGATCGTCAAGGGGGTTTTGACGTCATCTGAATTTTATCATGTTTTAACTTTCGGGTGAAACAAGTATCTACATGCATTTATATCGACCATCAGTTGCCAAGGTTCACAGTTCCACACGTTCAACATGCCCCCAAAAAAACAAAAGCTCCCCGATACGGCCCTGTTTAGAAATGTTCTTGGCATCGGAGGACGATTATTTGGCGTCCTCTGAGAGCACAGAAAAGGAAAATTGCGAAACACACGCACGGTAATACGAAAATAAACACGGAATAATCCTTTGGGCATGCTCGGAGAAGCCCAGCGAAAGCAGAATTCACCGGCAACTGGCGCTTTTGTGAGGCGCTCTTCACGCTTACGATTATTCGTAGGAAGAAAAGATGCGAGCGGTAATCGCTGCTCGGGCTATTCACGCAGAACGGGGGCAAGTGAAAGTCAAAGCCGTAGCACGGTCAACAGTCATTGCGACGGCACGAAAAGAGAAAAAAAAAAAAAGTGGGCACGCGAGCAAAGACTAGCCGGCCGCGACCGTGCTATGCCGTCCCGCAAAAGCCACAGAAACCAGCCCCTTTTCTAGGCCAACACGATCAATGGAGACAGAAAAGCCCGAAAGCAGAAGAACCAGTTCCGCAGACAGACCAAACGCGTAAAGAAGCAAAAGCGCCTACACGGCACAAAAAAAATTAAGCACGCAGCAACCGAAAGTAGCTGAGTTGCCAAAGCGTGACGGCGGTAATGCTACTGAAACTGTCGCAATAAACTTTTCTGGGCAGCTGCTGTCGCCTTAGCGTATAGTACCTGTTGAAAATCCGTCCCGAATAAAACGTCCAGTGCATGGACGATCGCGTCACCTCATTCTTTTCAAACGCGATGTACGAGCATTCGCTGAAGCCAACAGGCAAACTTCATGCTGCCGGCACTTTCTCAGTTCGAAGAGGGGCTCTCCTAGTTTCGCGTTGCGTTTGCAGTGGGGAAAACAACACTACCACGCTGGCTCGCTCGCTCGAGCCGACAGCCTTGAAGCCGCAGAAACCACGTGTTCCATCACTGTCGCGACAAACTCAAGGAAATGGAACGTCCCATTCAACCTGCCGTTTGACGCGTCGGGCCGGTTAGGCAACGGGTTTTCGAGTGAACATATGCGCGATAAAGTTATATACTCCAAATATAAAGCGAGAAAGACGCGACATACGTTTTTTTTTGTCTTTTTTTAGAGGAGCGCAGCTAGAGATCGTCAGTAAACCATCAGGGTGACGGTGCACTCCAGCTCGGAAATACATAGTGATATTTAAGAGTGGTATCACATTCCGAACTTAGTTACCGGCCAAGAAAACTTGTTTACTTTCCACCCGGTCGTAGAAGAGCAACGTCCGAAGAGCATCAGTTTCGTAATAACAACGCCCCCCCATCTCAAGCTCAGACGTTAATACGCACGCCTGCAAACAACACTCGAGAGGTGAAACCGAGGCGTTAGATAAGTTTACAAACACGAAAAACGAAGATATTTTGCTGGCTTACCGAAAGCAGCCCGGCTACTTTCAAGACGGGTGCTAGGGGCCTGTAGGCTTAGGGGCAATCTTCGATAAACGTTCAAGAATGCCGCCGACGGGTTTCAACTCCGCGCCCTACGCAGCATTGTGTGCAGCCCAACGCAGGCAGCAGTGCACTCACACGTGAAAGCACACGGTTGCGTCTCGCAAATGGAGGTCAGCCGCGAGTCGCTTCCTTCTCAACGCCGGCACGTCCCGATGATCATATGTCAAAACAGCAAACCACGAGTGTGTTCCTCTTACCCGAGCGACGGAGGCAGTGGAGCAAAAAATCCGCTTCTCTGTCGGCCTGTTCCTCACTGGGACGCCAGCGCTGTTCGCATACCGTCCCGGCGCGTACTCCACAGCGTCTCGTTCGTGACGTCCCCGCACGACCACACGCACAAATGCCAAGCCAACTGCGGCTACCAAGGAGGCCCGAGCGCAGCAAACTTCTCTGATTTTTCCCGTCACCATGCGCATTCATCGACGGAGCACGGCGGAGAAGCCAGCAGTGCTGCCATCTGGTGCGAAAAACGCGGATGTGAGTTGCGGTGCCGCCATCTAGCCGACAACAGTAAAAGCGGTTTCTCGTTGCTACTTGTGCTCTTTGAGATTCAGCAATGAACGTCTCGGAGGCCTGCTGAATGCGCTATTTTTGAAGTTATGACAGCGAGAGCCACTGTAGTGGCACATTTGTTCAACCCGAGGCCTGCGCGGGTCCACCTTATAAAACCCGGGCCCAGTCATGGCCCATGTTACTAAGCCTGGGCTCGGATATTCAATACTTAACTTATCTAAAGTCCGCATGTGCACAGTGTGGAAGCCGGGTGCCTTGGAAGTAATTTTTTATTATTATTGTTATTGGCTGTTTGCGATTTGAAGCTACCAACCAGGCGTAAAATTCAGTGCGTGCGTCTGTTGAAATGTTATTTTACCCGCAGCAGCATCCCGTTGGTTAAAAGTACTACGACACATATTTCCCCGGAAACGGTGGCCACATTCCTGTATTACGAGGTGGAAAAGCACTGCGCTGATAATGATACTCCAGGTACAAATTAGTCAAGTTCCCACTATGGGATGCCTCGTCATCATATAGTTATTTTGTCCTGGATTTTCCTAGCAGTTAATAATAACTGCTGCTTATCTGTGGCACGAAACTTCATTATGCAACAAAAATATCGAGACAAAAGATGATAAAAATTATTTTAAAATACAATGCTCAAATAAGATGACAAATTAAAGCGAAGGGAACCCAGTGGATTCTATTTATTGCTTCTTTCTAGAACTGTAAATAGAAGCATTTATGCCGTCATAATTGTTTCCCAGGTAAAATAATTTATTTTGTAAAAGTTAATCATTCCATAAGTTTATATTAAAGACTATTTATATTTCTTTCCGGAAAGTTGGAGCTTAAGGTTACATATGATGAGCAGCAGACAAAATCACGTAGCTTGTTGTTCGTCTATATCGTAGCTGCAGCATGGCACGGGAGCTAGTCACGAGCGCACAAAATAAACAATGCAATAAATACTGTCACACGCGTTTCGTGAGCATAGAGAAAATAAAATTTTTCTGATATTTTCACAAAGCAAACACAAAAAAATAGGTTTAATCTTTTGAGCGTATGCATTGCTTTCTCTTCCGTTTGTCAGTACATCAACGCATATTATGCACATATAGTATGAGATTGTTAAATACGTTTGCTTGAAGTCTCACGCCCTGTCATATATTATATATTGTGTTGTTATAATTATATATTGTATGTGTAGTGGGATTCTTACGCTTGGAGATTAGAATCTCTCTCTCTCTCTCTCTCTCTCTCTCTATATATATATATATATATATATATATATATATATGTGTGTGTGTGTGTGTGTGTGTGTGTGTGTGTGTGTGTGTGTGTGTGTGTGTGTGTGTGTGTGTGTGTGTGTGTGTGTGTGTGTGTGTGTGTGTGTGTGTGTGTGAAAGAGGGAGTTAGATACCTGTAAAGGATAAGAAATAGCTGGTGCTTGGTTTGTGCGCAACCTCCTAACATCATGTTTACCATAATAAAAAATGGCAGTTGAGTGACACAATGAATACTCCCAAGAATGATATATGTCATGAGGTCTTTACAACACCCAGCAAAGGGCAAAAAAAAAAGCTGCACGTTTTTGTGAAAAAATAGAATGTTGTCTGGATATCCGGTTTCAAGCAATTCCTCTCATTTTGGACTATCTATAGCCAGATACTAGGAAAATGCATTCGCTACACAGGTTGTTTCAACAAACTTCTCCGTTGAAACTCATCGAACTGAGATATTCGCACGCTGCCTTCATTATTACTCTCTCTGTGGCGGCAGGGACTGTAAAGGGACACCAAAGCCAAACAGTGAATTGATTTAGATTGAATACTCTGTCAAAGCTAATGCTGCTAATTTTAACATCGTATGGCTGCTAATAGAGGGGAAAAATGAATGGCAAAGTTTTATATAATTTCTTTTTCATTTCGCACCTAGATCTGCACACGAGACATCAGAGATTTCAAAGGCTGTTATTGCGTATAGCGACATCGGCTGAATGAAATTTCCTGGAACTTCGTCTGTTGCGTCCATGGCCCCGCCATGGACGCAACAGACGAAGTTGCAATCTTCTGTGTCCGCTTCCATATCTTGTCATCAGCGCCTCCTGCATCTAAATGCCACTGACTCTTCGCCGCTTGAACACGATGGACGCATCCGCCTTGTCACCACGTCAGATTATGTACTTCGGCCCTACATCGAACAAATTATAAGTGTTAATTGCACCGACATTGTGGATGGTGACGCACTTATTCTCCCTGATAGCCATACCCTACGTAGGGGCATTGTGATCCCACTGCTGGGCTTATTCGCTTCTTCGATGGGTCAACCTGCCTTAACGCCTTAAACTAAACCCCCGAATCTGTACTGCTTCCCTGTGGCTAACCAGTATCGTGCGCGGTCGACAGTGAGCCTGTTTCGAATGTTACTCTTTCGAACAACAACTACAACGATGTGTTAAAGTCACCATCACTACCATTCAATGCCTCTTCCACACTTGTGTCGGCAACCATAAGCACTGAATGAACAGCTGCTCGAACTGAATATTTGCTCGCCCGTCCTTAGCAAGACTACCACCGCTACTCACAGCATCCAGACTGACAGCTCTCGTTTTGTACATAGGCGTCCATATCGCGTGTCTCCAGCAGAACGCAAGATCGTCAAGGAAAACGTCTGAGGCATGCTACGACGCAACATCATACGTCCTTCCTCGAGTCCCTGGTCATCTCCAGTTCTTCTCGTTCAAAAAAAAGATGGGAAGTTCGTTTCTGTGTCGATTACCGTGCGCTAAACAAAGTAACGCGCAAGGATGTTTATCCTCTCCCTCGGATCAACGATGCACTGGATTCGTTACAGGGTGCCGAGTATTTTTCTAGCCTCGACCTTAGGTCAGGCTTCTGGCAGATACCAATGTCGAAGCCTGATAAAGAGAAGACCGCCTTTTCAACCCCAGATGGGTTGTACGAGTTTAATGTGATGCCTTTGGGATTCTGTAATGCGCCCGCCACCTTCGAACTGATGATAGACGGTGTATTGCGTGGTTCGAAATGGAAGACGTGTCTGTGCTTTCTCAATGACACAGTAGTGTTTTCATCCACGTTCTCGCAGCATTTAGAACGTCTTGACGAAGTCCTCAGATGCCTTGCAAAAGCCGGTCTACAGCTTAATACCAAGAAATGTACCTTTGCTAGCAAGACAATCAAGGTTCTCGGCCAATTAGTCATCGAAAGAAAATTCGGCCAGACCCCGAGAAGTTTGCCGCTGTTTTCGACTTCCCTTGTCCCCTGTATACGTCAAAAAGACCTGCGCCGATTTTTGGAGTTAGCTTCTTATACTTCCGGCGCTCCATACGCGGCTTCGCGGAGCTTGCGTCTTCACTCCACCAACTCCTCGCAAGTAACGTCACCTTCGTTTGGTCCAAAGACTGCGAAAGCGCTTTCGCAGCATTCAAGCAAGCCTTCACGTCGGATCCAATCCGGTACTGTGCCACTTGGATCCAAGCGCACCCACCATCCTTCACACTGACGCTAGTATAGTCATGGTCTAGGTACGGTACTATATTGCAGCGCAATGACAACTCAGGTGAACGCGTCGCTGCTTACGCAAGTCGTGTTCTTACCGCTGCAGAAATGAACTACACCATCACCGAGCAAGAGTGCCTTGCTGTTGCTTGGGCAGTGCAAAGATTTCTACCATATCTTCACGGCCGTCACTTTACCATCGTTACCAACCATAACACCCTATGCTGACTTTCATCGCTGAAAAACTTATCGGGTTGCCTCAGTCACTGGGTGCTTCGCTTGCAGGAGCACAATTTCGATGTGGCCTATACAGACCTGGGAAGAAGCATCAAGATGCTGATGCTCTGTCGCGTTGTCCTTTGCCCAGCCGAGGCCACTCACCATCGCGATACTCCAAACCGGAACCATCTCTCCAATCGCCGTGCTAAATTCATCACCCGGCCCCCAATCCGTCCTTGTTTCACAACAACGTGTCGACCCATACTTCCGCACCATTGTTGACCGCATGACCAGTTCTACTACTCCCAACGCCCGTCTCTGTCGACAACTTAAACAATCTAGGCTTGTCGATGGCACATTATATCGCTACATTTACCACATTGATGGCAACAAGTAAGCACCCGTCATCCCACGTACTCTGCAACGTGAAGTTCTGGAAGCTTTTCATGATGATTCAACCACCGGTCATCTAGGCTATCACAAGAGTTACGACAAAATACTAAGTCGTCGTTTTTGGCCTGGCCTCTCTTCAGCCATCGCTAAGTACGTCGCCTCCTGTGTCCATCGCCAAAGGCAAAAACGACCTACAACTGCTCCGGCTGGCTTAATGCAACCTGTTTCTTGTCCCATCGTACCTTTTGAAGTACTCGGAATCGACTTGTAAGGTCTCCTATATCATCGAATGGGAATCGTTGGATTGTCACGGCCATCGACCACCTTACTCGCTACGCACAAACAGCTTCTATACAATCTGGAACTGCCACTGAGGTCACCGATTTCTTCCTTCGTTACTTCTTTTTGCGCCATGGAGCCCCACGCGTTCTCCAGAGCGATCGTGGCTCAGTGTTTCTCTATTCTATTGTCAATGAAGTTTCGCGTGCCTCCCACACTGTTCACAAGACCATTTCTAGTTACGATCCGCAGGCCAACGGATTGACGGAACGCTTTCATCAGACCTCTCGGACATGATCACGATGTACATTCACCCCGACCACAAGAACTGGGATGTAATCCTGACCTTCGTGACATTCACTTACAATACGGCTGCTCAACGCACTACCGGCTTTTCTCCATTTTTTATCGTCCATGGTCGCTCGCCGAGTTTCGCTCTGGACATCTCTTTCCTTTCGGCCCCTGCATCCTCGACACCTCCTTTCTCTGAAGTATTTTTATC